AAGCGGGGTTCAAAGCACTCCAAACTTAATCCATTCCCAATCCAAGCTCGTTTGATTCGATTTCATCATCGGGGAAACAAGAAAACCGTAAAACAAAGTAAAACGATTGGGAGATCCAGATTGGGGTGTCTACAGGTACTTTTAAATACATGTCCGCATTTTCTATTTCTTCTGGATAGCCTTGAGAGGGTGTCTAGAAACCTTTGACGTTACTTGTACCAAGACAATGGTGCTCCAAGTGCCGTCAAAGGGGGGCTACTGTGGAAACCCAATTTTGGACTTCCCAGAATAGTTTATTTACGGTCTTTGATTCCCCGATGATGATTAAGGTCAAGAACATCTCGAGTTTGTTAATGAGTTTGAGCTTTGAGCGTCCCGAACCTCATCTAAACCTTTCCGAACCCCCTTTTGAAACCTTCAAGCCAGAACCAAATGTCCTCAACAAAACCCTTCTGGTGTACGCAGGTGCTTGACTAGCGTGCGCTGGAAGCACAGCCACGTGTCAGTCATCGCCCGTTACTGGCGCATGCCACTCAACAAGGGGCGTACGCTAGTAAATTCCAGTCAAATCAACTTTATTCAGTCGAACGCGCGGGAGTTTTTGTAACCACCTGACGTCAGCCAGCAGTCCCCTGATGATTACTCCGTCCTGGCTATTCCCTCCAGCCCTACACCTTCCCTCAAGCCAAGTCCCATGCATTAAATGCATGGGAGGCTCCCTCTTGGCCAAGCCAACCAAACAAGCCCTTAGGCCCAACTGAACTCAGTTGTCTTTTGCCTATAAATACCCCCTGTAGGGAGGTATTACCGAACAGGTGCAAATAGTAACCGAACACGTGGTGTTCTGGATCCGTGTAATGAGGAAAGTGATATGGGACCCCATATAAGGTGGACGGCGGCGATAAGGTCCAGTGCTACGAGGAGGCACTGGATTAGACGATCTGTTCGGCTGTGAAAGGCCAGTGGCATGAGAAGTCATCTACTTGATTAGTTTGTTCGGTAGGAGCATGTGCCGAACAGATGGAGTCACCTGATGGCACGTTGCCTTAAGAGATAAGGCAATAGGAGTGTTCTGTAAGGCGAACCCAATATACGGTAAAGATAAGTAAGGACACAGTCCTATTGTGAAACGAGTTCCATAGTGGGAAAAGACCCAATGAGTAAGGGATCTCGGTTGATTGGGCAGGAGATCCCCAAGAAAGCCAGGTTTTCTATACGTGACAGAGGACCTGGGCAACAAGAATGCTTGGAAAGCAAGCATGCTCATATCTATAAATACGAGGTAAACCTGGAGAAAAAAGGTACGCAATAAGTTGCATTCATTCCACACTTCCTATTGACTTTTAGGGTTTTGAGACAGTACGTGATACTAACTTAGGCATCGGAGGGCCTTTGCTACGAGAGGCAAAGGTGCGCTCACCCCTTGTCTGTTTTACAGGTTAGGGTTCAGGCGAAGGTATTAGGGTTCCGGTTGGGCAGCACGTGAAGGAAGGAGATTCAGTGCTGTTCTAGGTACCATCTATTTTTCTCCACCTACACCCCCCATTGCATTCATTTGCAAGGGGTTAACTCCATTAAAGAGCCCAAGCTTTGGTTCTTCTCCCTCTTCTTGCTTTCTTGTTCCTCTTTCACCCATTATAAGAGCAAACAAGTGAGCAAGATACCACAGTCCATACACCCACTACATTCACCATCCATCCATCATACTCAAAGCTCAAGCTCAAACTCATCTCCAAACTCACAAGCAAAGGTATACCACATTTGTTTTCTGTTATCTGTTCTAACCCCTGAGGGGGGCTGGCAGGGTCAAGGCTAGTAATCTATACCAGTCCTGGCCCTAATGCTGGCAAGGTTTCAAAACCGTATGTGATGATCAGGTGGCGCACGCCAGTTATTAGTGACGTACGCCAGTCATGGCTGTATGGTAAAACTGGTGTGGGGATCACCGATCATCATTTTTCCTGTTTCATTACCATCTGATCACCTTATAAGCATGCTAAAACAAGTTTACTGCTTTCTGTATTTTAGAACTGTTTAACTTTGGGTATTTCAAATACTAGTTTCCGCTGCTATGGAATGCCTCTGGGGCTTTTCTGGTCATGATCCAGAACCCTGTAAGTGCAAAGCCAAGCACTGGAAAAAGGGACCAACTGGCGCACGGTACCAACTTACCAGCGCACGCCAGTTGTCTCTGGTCCAGTGGCTGGCCCTTGTATGGCAACTAGGCCCTGAGCCTCCGTTTATGTCCCCACACTGTTTATGGGGTGTACAGTTCATTTCATTTCTGTAGATCTATATTTGTTGTCTGTAACTATTTAAATCTCTGTGATATAAACTGCGTGGTTTGTTCTGGGTGTGCACTGGTCCTTCCAGAGCCTAGAGGGTTGATAACAGAAGCTGTGTGCTTAGGCTCACCGGTGCACGCCTGTTGTTAGGTGGCGCATGCAGGTTTGTTTCTGTGTGCACCATTTCACAGCCAGCGTGCTCTAGTTTGTCTAAAAACGTTCACAGGTGCTTGTTCTCAATCTATTATTCATGTTTCAAACATCAAACATACATCAACTTTTTTTTTATCACATTCTTGTACATAAATGCAAACTTGTTACAGTTTTAATCCCCATTAATTGTTCCCCCGCCCTAACTGACTAAAAATGATCAAATGAGAGAGAAAAACAAATGTTTTACAAAATGCCTGAGTAGAGACCGATCTCCGGATTGGGCGAGAGGGGTGCCATAAAACCCTTCCCCTCTCGTAACCTGGCTCCCGAACCTCATATATCGAAGGTGACGACGGTCCAATCTACAAGCCTTTTTCAAACTCAAACAACGTAACCAAACGTTTTCAAAACCCGGTTTCTTGGGTACTTTCCGCAAAACCCGAGTGGCGACTGTGAACTGCGAAGCGTTTCGCCCCGCTTTTCGCAAGATAGGGCGCACCCGATTTTACATGCATTAAAATGTGAAATTTTGGGGCGTGTGCCCACACCCAAGCACACTTAACTGCGGAGTTCTGATGGGATCCGGTGCATTAGTGCTGATATGATCGCACCCGAAATGTTCTCCTCCTTCAATTCTTTTGTTCCATTCTTCTTACCGCTGCGCGCTACTCCTTCAGCCACGAGCTTTCTTAGTTACGTCTCGCCGACCAGACCCCGTATCACGTTGGAGGGCTTGCTAGGGCCGACCGTTCCTGCGAAAGAGGAAATTTATGCTCCGAACTCGAAAAGCCGCCGCTAACAGCCCTCCGGAGAGCTCTCGACGAGACGAGCAGAATTGGCGGCGAGCCAAGAGAAGAAGGAAGGGAAGGGGGGAAAATGAAAAAGATTCCGTAAAAAAACCAAAAAGGGGTGCAACACGAGGACTTCCCAAGGGGTCACCCATCCTAGTACTACTCTCGCCCAAGCTCGCTTAACTGCGGAGTTCTGATGGGATCCGCTGCATTAGTGCTGGTATGATCAAACCCGAAATGTTCTCCTCCTTCAATTCTTTTGTTCCATTCTTCTTACCGCTGCGCGTTACTCCTTCAGCCACGAGCTTTCTTAGTTACGTCTCGCCGACCGGACCCCGTATCACGTTGGAGGGCTCGCTAGGGGCGACCGTGCCCGCGCAAGAGGAAATTTCTGCTCCGAACTCGAAAAGCCGCCGCTAACAGCCCTTCGGAGAGCTCTCGACGAGACGAGCAGAATTGGCGGCGAGCCAAGAGAAGAAGGAAGGGAAGGGGGGAAAAGGAAAAAGATTTCATACAAAAACCAAAAAGGGGTGCAACACGAGGACTTCCCAGGGGGTAACCCATCCTAGTACTACTCTCGCCCAAAGCATGCTTAACTGCGGAGTTCTGATGGGATCCGGTGCATTAGTGCTAGTATGATCGCACCAGAAATGTTCTCCTCCTTCAATTCTTTTGTTCCATTCTTCTTACCGTTGCGCACTACTCCTTCAGCCACGAGCTTTCTTAGTTACGTCTCGCCGACCGGACCCCGTATCACGTTGGAGGGCTCGCCAGGGCCGACCATGCCCGCGCAAGAGTAAATTTCTGCTCCGAGCTCGAAAAGCCGCCGCTAACAGCCCTCCGGAGAGCTCTCGACGAGACGAGCAGAATTGGCGGCGAGCCAAGAGAAGAAGGAAAGGAAGGGGAGGAGAAGGGAAAAGATTCCGTACAAAAACCAAAAAGGGGTGCAACACGAGGACTTCCCAGGGGGTCACCCATCCTAGTACTACTCTCGCCAAAGCACGCTTAACTGCGAAGTTTTGAAGGATCCGGTGCATTAGTGCTGGTATGATCACACCCAAAATGTTCTCCTCCTTCAATTCTTTTGTTCCATTATTCTTACCGCTGCGCGCTACTCCTTTAGCCACGAGCTTTCTTAGTTACGTCTCGCCGACCGGACCCCGTATCACATTGGAGGGCTCGCCAGGGCCGACCGTGCCCGCGCAAGAGGAAATTTCTGCTCCGAGCTCGAAAAGCCGCCGCTAACAGCCCTTTGGAGAGCTCTCGACGAGACGAGCAGAATTGGCGGCGAACCAAGAGAAGAATGAAGGAAAGGGGGGGAGAAGGGAAAAGATTCCGTACAAAAACCAGAAAGGGGTGCAACACGAGGACTTCCCAGGGGGTCACCCATCCTAGTACTACTCTCGCCCAAGCACGCTTAACTGCGGAGTTTTAATGGGATCCAGTGCATTAGTGCTGGTATGATTGCACCAGAAATGTTCTCCTCCTTCAATTCTTTTGTTCCATTATTCTTACCGCTGCGCGCTACTGCTTTAGCCACGAGCTTTCTTAGTTACGTCTCGCCGACCGGACCCCGTATCACGTTGGAGGGCTCGCCAGGGCCGACCGTGCCCGCGCAAGAGGAAATTTCTGCTCCGAGCTCGAAAAGCCGCCGCTAACAGCCCTTTTGAGAGCTCTCGACGAGACGAGCAGAATTGGCGGCGAACTAAGAGAAGAATGAAGGAAAGGGGGGGGAGAAGGGAAAAGATTCCGTACAAAAACCAAAAAGGGGTGCAACCCAAGGACTTCCCAGGGGGTCACCCATCCTAGTACTACTCTCACCCAAGCACGCTTAACTGCAGAGTTTTGGTGGGATCCGGTGCATTAGTATTGGTATGATCGCACCCGAAATGTTCTCCTCCTTCAATTCTTTTGTTCCATTCTTCTTACCGCTGCGCGCTACTCCTTCAGCCACGAGCTTTCTTAGTTACGTCTCGCCGACCGGATCCCGTATTACGTTGGAGAGCTCGCCAGGGCCGACCATGCCCGCGCAAGAGGAAATTTCTGCTCCGAGCTCGAAAAGCCGCCGCTAGCAGCCCTCCGGAGAGCTCTCGACGAGACGAGCAGAATTGGCGGCGAGCCAAGAGAGGAAGGAAGGGAAGGGGGGGAGAAGGGAAAAGATTCCGTACAAAAACCAAAAAGGGGTGCAACACGAGGACTTCCTAGGGGTCACCCATCCTAGTACTACTCTCGCCCAAGCACGCTTAACTGCGGAGTTCTGATGGGATCCGGTGCATTAGTGCTGGTATGATCGCACCTGAGATGTTCTCCTCCTTTAATTCTTATGTTCCATTTTCTTACCGCTGCGCGCTACTCCTTCAACCACGAGCTTTCTTAGTTACGTCTCGCCGACCGGACCCCGTATCACGTTGGAGGGCTCGCCAGGGCCGACCGTGCCCGCGCAAGAGTAAATTTCTGCTCCGAGCTCGAAAAGCCGCCGCTAACAGCCCTCCGGAGAGTTCTCTACGAGACGAGCAGAATTGGCGGCGAGCCAAGAGAAGAAGGAAGGGAAGGGGGGGAGAAGGGAAAAGATTCCGTACAAAAACCAAAAAGGGTGCAACACGAGGACTTCCCAGGGGGTCACCCATCCTAGTACTACTCTCGCCCAAGCACGCTTAACTGCGGAGTTCTGATGGGATGCGGTGCATTAGTGCTGGTATGATCGCACCCAAAATTCTTATCCGTAAACCTACTTGGTAGAATCAAAGCCCCATAGAGGTAGAACGATCTTTAAGAATCCAAAGGGTTAGCTCAAGTGGTAAAAAGGGTGAAGTAGATTTGCGAGTCTTTAATTCGCCTCTAACCAAAGGCATGATATCTTGGGCTAGCTTGCAAAAGTTTCATTCGAGAATTTTCCTATTCCTGCGTGAATGACTCGTCTTTGAATCTAGCCGGGATGCGATTAGTTTTGGCCCACATATGCTCACCCGAACGTAATATGCTTGAAACCACTCAAGTGCTATAAACTTTGGGAAATGATAATGCCAAAACCATTTTTGTTCCTGCCAAAACTTATTCATTGCATGACTTAATTGCCCTCTATTACACCACTTACTTTACGAAAATACCCCTTAAAATCCCATAAGTGCAAGAGGAAAACTAGAGCAAATTAAAAATATCAGTTCCACGTTTTCAAGCAAATTAAAAATGCAATTCAAGAGGAAAACTAGAGCTAATTTCAGAAGAGTAGCAAACGAAAATTAAACATCAAGCAAAAAGGCAATTCACGAGCAAAACTAGAGCCAAAATAGTTAATACGGATCTTGCCCATTCCAGTTCCATGTTTTCATCAATTCACGAGGAACCCAACTAACAAACACAAGTTAATTTTAGAAGAGCCATGTTCACATCATCATCAAGAATTAAAACATCAATTCCAAAAATTTCTAAAGTTGCGATTAACAAATGATAATACTTCAGCCTTCGCACAAAAACTCCATTGTGCATTCTCTAGTTTTCACACACCTTCCTCACCACTACCTGAAAATTAAAAAGAGAAGTGATGAAATAGAGTATCAAAACTACGAAAAAAAAATAATTTCAGTTCAGATTGTATTCTTACTTTAGTCTCCACACAAAAACTCTGTTACGCATATCTTGGACGGACTTAAAAGTAAAGCCTTATTACTACATGAAAATAAAAAAGGGATCGTCATATGATAGAGTTATCAAAATCATGACAACAGATTCATTAAAATTTACCTCAACTAATCCATCCAACCAAAAGCACTCCGTTGAAATAGGAATCGTGTTTATGTCAGCCTCATCTATGGTACTTCCTTCATAAGCTATACCAACTCCATAACTTGGATTGATTACACTTGGTCCCAATTTGTCTCAGCATATTCGACTATTATGACCGGCGGCTATACAAATGCTATACTTTCGTGGTGCATCAATGATCTCAAATTGTGAAGAATTCCGTTTTGTAGAACTTGTTTCTTTTCCCTTCCTTGATGCCGGTGGACGTCCCTTATGAACTTGAATTGTTGGCTCAAAAAGCATTGGAAATGATGGATGTTCAAGCTGTGAAATGCTCCCTTGAGCACTATCCTTTGGAGCAGCGCCGTTTCCATCTTGTTCACCATTAGAAACAGACAAAGATCTTATGTCAATCCTCCATTGCGAGTGTATTGCATCAAGAGGTAATATCTTGTCTTTCCATTCAATCATCTTATGTACACAAGGAAGACCCATGCTTGCCATGAAGTGTCCCGTACATATTGACTGCATTGTGCCATGTCTCATCATTTCATATTGCTTAAGCAGCTCTCCCATCGCAAATACCGACACATGACTTACAAGTTCCTTAAAGAACAAAATATTTGATCTGTGAGGTACCCGGATCCTCTCGCTCAAGAGTTGAGTCTTTATCTCATTAAATTCATTTTCAATTGCAAGACATGTCTTGTTCTTCACTTCTTAGAGATCACCAGTTGAAACTAGTAAATATTTTTTCATTTTTGAATGTGCATCTTTTGCCCTAGAAGAGGCTTGATTTCCAAAGTGAAGACACTTATAAGTCCATCCCTTCACAAACTTCTCTTTGAATGGAAGCCATGTCCTCCGAATGTAGGATAACACTTCTTGCTTCTCTTTGTACAACAGCTCAAAAAAATTCCAAGCTTGCTCAAACATCTCTTCATTTTGAGAGCTAATCACTTGGTTCCAAATAGACAAAAATGTGGTCCAATCTTCTTGACGAGCAAAGCGAGGCTTGCAATTCGTCAAAAATATTTTTCTCAATATGCCATACACACAAAAGATTAGTAGTTGTTGGAAAGACGACTTTTATAGCATTCATCAAGGCTAATTCCCTATCCGATACAATGACAGATGGTTGGCAAGAGGGACCCAATAGGTTACTAAACATTCTTAAAGCCCAAGCATAATCCTCTTCTCCCTCTTTTTCCAAAAATGCAAAACAAGAGTAGAATGATTTGTTGAAAGTTGAAACCCCAATGATGTCAAGTAGCGGCATCTTGTATCGATTAGTCTTGTAAGTGCAATCCATTACGAAAACAGTTGTATAGCTCTTTGTCAATGTGATTGAGAGAGAGTGTACAATAAATAGATGTGTCAAACATCCATTTTGATCATATGCAACTTTAAAAGTAAAATCACCTTCACAAAGCTCATCAAACAATGCTTGGATCGTAGTTCGTCCCGCCAAATTCTCCCTTCAAAGCTTATTCTTTATATTGTAGATTGTTCTTGACACAGCTTGAAGTTTCTTATTCCTTAGTCTAAACGAAGAAAGAATTTGACGTGGAGGTACTCCCGATCTTGTCAGTTCTTCAATGGTCATGATCTCTTCTTTCGAAAAACACCGGAACGAAGGATGTCCTGCCATGTCACTTGAAGGTTCATGATTGTGTGACCCATTTTTCACTTCAAGCACCCAGAATCCATCATCTAGTCTCTTGCAACGAATTTCAAAAGGACAATTTATAAGGCGGGTTGCCGTGTTCCTCTGTCGACGCTCCATGGGGACATGCCATTTATTTCGATAACAACCACCTCTATCGTAGCCAAGAGTAATATATCTACCCTTCGTGGAGGTTTTGATAGATATTGCATACCCTTGCATTGCAAAAAACTGTCGAAGAGTGTCCACAAGTTCCTCACGGGATTCAAATTTCCAGCCAAGCTGTTCCAGCATATCATTCTGTCCAATTTCTCCATTTTCTTGATCAGTCATGTTGATTTCTCCTTGTTCAACTACCAAACCAATTGAACTCCCACCGATGCCCTCAATTGTTTGCTCAATTTCCATGACTCTTGCTCATCAAATCTACATTATGAAAGTTAAAAGAAAAAAGACTTTACATTTATTCAAACCCTTTAAAGTTGCAATTAGAAGAGCAATAATGTTACATTCTACAAATTGAGAGTCATACTTACAGAAAAATAGAGAACGTGGTAAACTACAGAATGTTGTGATGGAGAGATGAAAAATACATAGTTGTCGTTACTCTGATTGAGACTTTAATGTAAAGGTGGTAAACTACAAATTTTGATACAGGAGAGTGACCGACAAATAGAATAAATGAGAGCTGCTCCTAGGGTGCTTCTACTTCTATTAGTTACTTATTTTTTACCCTTTCAACAAGTTCGGAGACCAGTGTTGTACAAATTACCGCCTTGACAGAAAAAGAAAAAAAAAACAAATCACTGCTAATACTCTTCACCATGTTGACGTTTGGATGGTGGGCGTTGACGGGAATGAAATATAAAACTTGGAGTAGTCCATACATTCGGTTACAAAAAAAATTACTAACACCAGCGGGATCACAATAGTGAAAGGTGTTACGAGGAGTAGTCGTTTGCGAGTGAATAGTGAGCAAAGAAAAAGAACAAAAACAAAAGACACGTTCAGGTGGTGTGTGACGAGAGGTGTGTTTCAAACCCTAAAAGTCCAAACCCTAAGGTTGCAATAAACAGTAGAATACTAATAAACTTGGGGGAACTCAAATAAAGAACAAGTATTGTATAAAATAGCTCTTTACCTAGAATTTTTAAAGAATGTAGCAATAGATCTGTTGGGGGAAGCTCTGTTTACGTTCAGCTTCTCTCCGTTGAAGAAGCTCTGAAGCTTCTAATGGGTGGGAGAGAAAATATTGAGCGACAATAATCCTTTGGATTTGAAATGGCATTTTCGTAAAGTAAGTTGTATAGTGGAGGGCAATTAAGTCATGCAATGAATAAGTTTTGGCAGGAACAAAAAGGGTTTTGGAAGGAACAAAAATGGTTATGGCATTATCACTTGCCTAAATTTTTATAGGGCTGGTTTGACTTTGCTCCGATTTTAATTGATCTACCCACTAGTGAACCGTAGGATAGA